GTTAGAATTTCCAGAGGGTTATGTTCTTTGTCCCGTTTTATGTGACTGAGATGGGGAATTATTTGCACCTTGCTGTATAAAGATGAATTCCCCTTGCAGCCAGCTCAAAGATGGGGATCTGCAAAAGAGGGGGTGAAATTCCTAAAGGAAATGATACATTGATACATTGCCATTTCCTTCCCCCCACCCTCACCCCAACAAACACCTGCCACAACCTATATCCAGCCAGTCTCTGGAGCAATTAGATCCTGTCTTCTAGCTTGGAGCCCTATCTAAATGGCTTCAGATTTCAGCTATGGGTCTCCCCCACCACACAACCAGACCAGTTGATCAACTGGTGAATTTTGAGCAGGAGGTTGGGACAGTTGTGGCTTGGGCTGACTCTTTGGAAACAGAAGTCATAGAACATGCAGCTGCCCTGCTAAGTGGTCACAGGGGGATGAAATCATCCACTGGAGGGAGCTTTGATTGTGCCTTCTGAAATGTAGGGTTGATAAGAATGTAGCTGACTACTTGTGAGGAGGGACAGGGTGAAAGGAAAGAAAGAGAATAGGACAAATGGGGAGGATAGACTGGAGGGAAATACAATTACCAATAGTAACTATTTTGAAGCAAGTTTCTCTGATAAGGGCCTCATTTTCCAAACATATAGAGAACCGAGTCAAATCTCTAAAAATAAGAGTCATTCTCCAGTTGATAAATGATCAAAAGATGTGAACAGTTTTCAAAGGAAGTAATCAAAGCTATCTATAGCCATATGAAAAAATGCTCTAACTCACTAGTGATTGGAGACATGCAAATTAAAACAGTTTTGATGTACTACCTCATACCTATTAGAATGTCTGACAGAATAGAAAAAGAAAATGACAAATAGTAGAGGGGATGTGGGAAAAATGGGGCATTAATGCGCTGTTGGTAGAGTTGTGAAGTGATTCAACCATTCTGTATAGCAATTTGGAAGTTTGCCCAAAAGACTATAAAACCATGCATACCCTTTGACCTAGCACAAGCACTACTAGGTCTGCATCCCAACAGAGATAAAAAAAGACTTATATGTACAAAAATATTTATAACAGCTCTTTTCTGCGGGCAAAGAATTTGAAATTGAGGGAATGCCCATCAATTGGGGAATGGCTGAACAAGTTGTGGCATGTGATTGTGATCGAATACTGTTGTGCTATGGGAAATAATGAGCAGGATGCTCTAGGAAAAGCACGGAGCTGATGCAAAGTAAAATGTACTTTGTACAAAGTAACAGCAATATTGTCAGATGATCAGCTGTGAATGACTTAGCTATTCTCAGAAATATAATGATCCAAGACAACTCTGAAGGACTTGTGATGAAAAATGCTATTCATCCTCAGAGAAAGAACTGATGGTGTCTGAACATACTGACTGAAGCATACTTTTTTTTCCTTTATTTTTCTTGAGTTTTTTTTAAAAGTCTATATTTTCTTTCACAACATGACTACTATGGAAATGTTTTGCATGACTATATATGTATAACCTATATTGAGTTGCTTGCCTCAATTGGGGGGGGGAGGAAGGGAGAGAATTTGGAATTCAAAAGTTTTAAAGGTGACTGTTAAAAACTGTTTTTACATGTAATTGAGGAAAAATAAAATAAAATACTAAATAAGAATGTAGTTGATGGCCAGGACATGGACGTGCTAGTAAAACTGTTCAGAGAAATTAAGTACCAGAGCACTTCATGCCCTTTCAGCCCCACCCAAGCCTCCAAAGCTCCTGCCCCATTTGGATCTTTCAGTAGAGGCTATAGAGGGCAGCACAGGGTGGGAGAAGGAACTATGGGCTCAGTAGTTGTACAAGCCTTTTCAGCACCTTCTAGGCATGTTAATGTGGGTAGGGCCAAATAGAAACCCTTATTTTCCTGAACCTGAACCGTCCCAAGTAGTTAACAATATTCAATATTGGGTCCCCAAGGAAGCGGAAGATATTTCTTCTCAAGTGACGGAGATGAAAGCAGCAAAAGTACTTCATTATACCAGTTCCCTTACAACGTTGTATTACCTGTGAGATTACAGTGCAGTAAAGGGAGCTGAACAAAGTCATCATGCCTATCTCTAAAGCTGTTCCTGATCTCATCAGTACCAAGGAGCTCATGCCCATGGTGAATGGTATGGGGCTACCAACATGCCAAGTGTTTTTCCCCCTCTATTCATGTAGCTAAGACAGGGGTGGGAATTTGTTCTGTGAAATTTGGATTCAGTCAAAGGGCCACACTTGAGGACCAAGAGGGCCACATGTGGCCTCCAAACTACAGATTCCCTGCCTCTGGGCTAAGACTAGTCAGGAATTTACTTTCACCTGAGGAGTCTAATAAGCCTTCATTGTCCTTTCCCAGGGCTATCTGAACTCTCCCTCATACTGCCACATTATGGTAGGCAGAGACCTGAAAGAGATTCCCTTTCTGAGGGCATTGGTCTACACTACTACATTGATGACAATAATGTTGACTGAGTCTGATAAGGGCCCATTGGCAGAGGCCCTAGTTCAGATGGTGGCCTGTCCGAAGTGCAAGGGGTAGGAAATCAACCCTAAGAAATCAAGGATCCGGCACAGTCAGTCAAGTTTTGGTGTAATACAGTGGTGAGGAAAACCCAGGGGATTTCAGAAACAGTTCACCCTTTGCCCAGAGTTGTCTATTATGGCTTGCATGATGCAAGACGGGTAAAGCACAGGATGCTTCTATTGCTAAAATAGAAATCATACATTACAATTGTACATACAATCGTTTACCTGAGTGTCTCTGGTGTTAGCACTCTTCACAAACAGATGGTGACTATGACAGAGCCTGAGGCCTCCCGGCCAGACCTTAGAACCCTCCCTCCTCCTCTGGCCCAATGGGCTCCCACCTATCCTTATAGAATACCTGGCTGCTCCTGCTTTGTAGGAAGTTTATCTGTCCAGCCCTTTCCTACCTGGAAAAGGAGATCGACTCATACATTGTGCAGGCCAAGGAGCGGAGCTACGAGACGGTGCTGAGCTTTGGGAAGTGAGGTCTTAACATCACTGCCACTGCCGCAGTGCAGGCAGCTGCCAAGAGTCAGGGTGCCCTCGCTGGTAGGCTTCGGAGCTTCTCCATGCAGGACCTGAGCACCATCCCTGACGATCCTGCTCCATCCTATCAGGATCCCCTCTACCTGGAGGACCAGGATTTGCACCAGAGACCACCCATCAGGTACCATCTTGGGGGCCTCCAGGACAGGGACACTGAAGACAAGTGTCGGTCCGATTCCCAGACGAAGGCCCACACCCTTCCCCGTCCAAGGGAAAAGCCCTTGGTACGGAGCCGGAGCCTCTGAATCGGCAAGAGGAAGCCTCTGGGCACCTCATGCTCCCTAAAGTCTCGAACTCAGAAGAAGGCAGCCCCATCAGACCTGGACAGCTAGTGCCAGCCTGTTTCCATTCTGCTCTACCTCCAGCGACCTTGTCCCTTCTCCTCTGACACCCTACTCTCTGGATGTGGAGGGAGGCTGGAGGAGAGGATGTTGGGTCTGTGGACATTGGAAAAGGCAGAAATGCCCCTTTTTGGTGATGGTTCTCCTCTATTCCCGTATGATCTCTCCTTGCCCCAATGCCCTCTCCCTCACTAACATCCTCTGCTCATCAAAGTGCCTATGCCGGACTTGGGAGGGTCCTGGTCCCCTAACCTGCCAGCCTGGACTGCTTGCCTGAGAAACCCTGGACTTGGCCCTCACCAGCACCTCCTCCTGGCTCTGGGGTGGGGGTGGGGGTCACATGTTCTTAGACCAAATTACTAAAGGCGTCACCGGTTGGCATTGCCCAATTTCTCTGTTTTTGTTATGCCAAAGCAATCCCTCCTTCACGCTTTGACCTGAAGGTTATTTATTGCCCATCTTTTTTTTTTTTCTGGCATCGTCTTTCACCCCTAACCCTTAATGGTTAGGAGGTAGGGGGAGCCTTGACTCTCCTTTGCCAACTCTTTTACCCTCCATCCCAGGCCCAGCTTTGATCATTCCATCCCCTTTCCCATGTTACTTGACAGGCCTTTTCTAGGGGTCATATGTATGTGTGTGTATATGTTTGTATATGCATATATGTGTGTTGGTTGGTGTATGGCCAAGTTTGGTTTTGATAAATAAATACATGGAATTTTCTCTTCAAAAAAAAAAATACCTGGCTGCTGAAATCCAATTGTGTATGCCTCTCTTGTCATTGAGAGAACCATTGAACCATTGGTTAACCAGGCAAAATAATGTTCTTCAGCAGCCACTAATCTGGTAACTGGAGCTATCCTAGGGAGTAGGGGCATTGGCAAGTCTTTCCAGTTGACTGAGCTCCAGGATACATGGCTGGCATGTGAGAGAGTCCTGGGCAATGGGACAAAGATCTTTATCTATACTAGTTCCTGGGCAGTGGCCATGTGTCTACAAAGTGGTCTGGCTAATCTTGTCACTGTTGTACACTAGGTTGCCCAGGCCCAGAGAACACAGTCTCTTTCCTTTGGAGTCAAAGCCAATGGAAGAATTTTGCCAGTGTTTTGTATTGAATATAGTTGTTTGTGAGGCATGTCAGCACCCACTAGACAAATGCTGAACAACCAAGTTAGAGCTCTTACAAGAACAGCAGAAATTGGGGAATGGGTCCAGTGTCAATTTGAACATTTGGGTGGTGATGCCAACTTGTACTGGGAATGGGATCACATGATGCCCCTAAGGAAAAGGCAACTATTCCTAACCCACATGGCCCTTGACTTGTCTCTAACTGGCAAAACGTAACTCTCCCCTTCTCAGGGTAAGAAGGTTGCCCCTAGTGATGACTAGCTGCATCATTATGCATCTGACTATATGCGTCATATCTCCAACCTCCCAGAAGCCATGACTGTGACAAATTGATGCTTCCCTGGAAAGTGGAAGGGCTCTCTTAACCAGTAGTTTCTTGGATCTAATCACTGGGAAGACTTACTTGATAAGAATGGAAAAATTTTTTAGCATGGTTCTGGCTGATCCTCTCCACTCCCTCGTTATTCCTTCTTCATCACACAGGTGTCTTGACCTCAAGGTTCCTGCCTCTTCAGAGGGTTCCATATGTCCTGGAGAAATAGTTCAGGTCCCTTTCAGTTGGTAGACTGCTATTCGATAGCTCAGGGACTCCTTCAAACAAGGGGCTTGGGAGTCCAAGGGGTGGTATTGTTGGAGGACATTCTGTTTTCATTTTTTTTTTTAAATTCAATTTCATCTTCAGTTCTAAATTCTTTCCCTCTCCCACCCACTGATTTTTGCTCCAATAACTGGGATCTCTGAGCTTGATTTACTGTATTTATTTGCTTCTATATATTGTGTACCTAATCTGTTCCATTGATCAACCACTTTTTCTTATCTAGCAATAAACTGTTCTGATGATTATGCTTTGTAGTATAGTTTGAGCTGATATAGAAAAGGTCCCCTTTCTTTTTTTTTTCATTGTTTCCCTTGACATTCTTGACCTTTTATTCCTTCGAATTTTGTTATGATTTTTTCTAGGTTCTACAAAGTAATTCCTTGGTAGTTTGATTGCTATGGCATTGAATAAATAAGTTAATTTAGGCAGTATTGTCATTTTAGGGGCAGCAAGTAACACAGTGGATAGAGTGCCAGGCCTGGAGTCATGAAGACTCATCTTCATGAGTTCAAATCCAGCCTCAGCCACTTTCTAGCTGTGTGATCCTGGGCAAGTCACTTAACTTTATTTGCCTGAGTTTATTCATCTGTAAAATAAGCTAGAGAAGGAAGTGGAAAACCATTCCAGTATCTTTGCCAAGAAAACTCCAAATGGGGTCACAAAGAGTCAGACATGACTGAAACAAATGAACAACAACATTGCCATTTTTATTACACTGGCTTAGCCTACCATGAGTAATTAATATTTTTCCAGGTATTGAGATGTCTTTATTTGTGTGAACAGCATTTTGTAATAGTGTTTGTATAATTTCTGTATGTGTCTTGGCAGGTAGACTTCCAAATATTTTCTACTGTCTGCAGTTATTTTATTTTATTTATTTATTTTAGGCAATTGGGGTTAAGTGACTTGCCCAGGGTCACACAGCTAATAAGTGTCAAGTGTTTGGTCTGACACTGGATTTGAACTCAGGTCCTCCTGACTTCAGGACCGGTGCTCTGTCCACTGCGCCACCTTCCTGCCTCTATAGTTATTTTAAATGGAATTTCTCTATCTGTCTCCTCTTGCTGGGTTTTGCTGGTAACATAGAAATGATGATGATTTGTGTGGGTTTATCTCATATCCCAGAACTTTGTTTAAGTTGTTAATGGTTTCATTTAGTTTTTTATTGACTCTCTAGGGTTTTCTAAGTAAAAGATCATATTATTTGCCCCCCAAATGATAGTTTTGTTTCCTCATCAAGGCATCTTGCTTTCTAATAACATGGTAGATGTGAAACTCTTGCTATAACTATGGTGGGTGTGTATTTGCCTGGAACAAAGGGGATCCCTTAGTTGACTTGGTGTGATTCTGATTCACCAGGATGAGGACAAGGAAGAGTTTTTATTTAGCCAACGTGGAAGAAGGGCACAGCTCTTTCACAGAAGCCTCTAAACCTCTCTCTCTTCCACCATCTTCCCAGGCCCCTGGATTCACAATCCAGATGTTACCACCTCACACATGGACTGTTGCAATAGCTTACTGATGCTGGCCTCTTGGCAGTTCCATGAACAAGACACTCCAATCTCTTGGCTCTAGGCATTCCCTCTGGCTGTCCCTCATGCTTGGAATGCTCACCCTTCTCTGCTCTGACTAGTGAACTCCCTGGGTTTCTTTAAGTTCCAACTAAAATCCCTCCTTCTACAGGAAGCCTTCCCCAACCCCTTCTTAATTCTAGTGCTTTCTCTCTATTATTTGTTTTTCCTTGTCTCTTTAGGGTTTATTTATTTATTTATTTTTAATTTTCAATATTCATTTTTATAAGATTTTGAGTTTTAAATTTTCCTCTGTCCCTCCCCTCTCTGCTTCCCATGATGGCATCCAATCTGATATAGGCTATACATGTACAATCATGTTAAACATATTTCCACATTAGTCATGTTGTTAAAGAAGAACCAGAACAAAAGGGAAAAACCACAAGAAAGAAAAAACAAAAAAGAAAAGAAAATAGTATCCTTCGATCTGCATTCAGACTCCATAGTTCTTTCTCTGGATGTGGATAGCATTTTCTTTTTATTTATTTAAATTTTGTCTTATTTTATTTTGGATAGCATTTTCCATCATGAATCTTTTGGAATTGTCTTAGATTACTGCAATGCTCAGAAGAGTTAAGTGTATCAAAGTTGGTCATTGCACAATGTTGCTGTTACTATGCACAATGTTCTGGTTTTGCTCACTTCACTCAGCTTCAGTTCATGTAAGTCTTTCAGGTTTTTCTGAAATCTGCCTGCTCATCATTTCTTATGGAACAATAGTATTCCATTACATTTATATACCACAATTTGTTCAGCCATTCCCTAATTAATGGGTATTCCCTCAATTTCCAATTCTTTGCCACCACAAAAAGAGCTGCTATAAATATTTTTGTACATGTGGGCCCTTTTCCCTTTTTTATGATCTCTTTGGCATACAGACCTAGTAGTGCTATGTTGGATCAAAGGGTATGCACAGTTTGATTGCTCTCTGGGCATAGTTCCAAATTGTTGTCTAGAATGGCTGGATCAGTTCACAACTCTGCCAGCAATGCTTTAATGTTCCAATTTTCCCACATCTTCTCCAACATTTATCATTTTCCTGTTTTGCCATGTTAGCCAATCTGATAGATGTGGTGTGGAACCTCAGAGTTGTTTTAATTTCTTTAATAAATAGTGGTTTAGAGCATTTTTCCACATGACTATAATTAGCTTTAATTTCTTCATTTGGAATCTGCCTGTTCATATCCTTTGACCATTTATCCATCAGGGAATGACTTGTATTCTTATAAATTTGACTTAATTCTCCATATATTTTAGAAATGAGGTCACTGGCTGTATTTCATTAGAGACACTGACTGTAAAAATTGTTTCCCAGCTTTCTGCTTTCCTTCTAGTCTTAGGTGCAATGGCTTTGTTTGTGCAAAAACTTCTCAATTTAATGTAACCAAAATTATCCACTTCACATATCATAATGTTCTCTATCTCTTGTTTGGTCATAAATTCTTCTATTCTCCATAGGTCTGACAGGTAAACTATTCCTTGCTCTCCTAATTTGCTTAAAGTATCACCCTTTATGTCTAAATTGTGTACCCATTTTGAATTTATATTGGTATATGATATAAGATGTTGGTCTATGCCTAGTTTCTGCCATAGTATTTTCCAATTTTCCCAGCAGTTTTTGTCAAATAGTGAGTTATTATCCTAGAAGCTGGAGTTTTGGGGTTTGTCAAACAGTATATTACTGTAGTCACTGACTGCTTTGTCTTGGGTGCCTAACCTATTCGACTGATCTACCATTTTATTTCTTAGCCAGTACCAAGTAGTTCTAATGATTGCTGCTTTATAACACAATTTTAGATCTGTGTTAGGTCACCTTCCCTTGCTTTTCTTTTCATCACTTCCCTTAATATTCTGGACCTTTTGTTTCTCCATATGATTTTTGTTATTATTTTTTCTAGCTCTATAAAATAATTTTTTGGAAGTTTGATTGGTATAGCACTGAATAAGCAAATTAATTTAGGCAGAATTGTCATTTTTATTATATTAGCTTGGCCTACCCATGAGCAACTGATATTTTTCCAATTACTTAAATCTGACTTTATTTGTGTGAAAAGTGTTTTGTAGTTGTGTTTATATAGTTCTTGGATTTGTCTTGGCAGGTAGACTCCCAAATATTTTATATTGTGTAGTTACTTTAAATGGAATTTCTCTTTTTAACTCTTGCTGCTGGGCTTTGTTAGTAATATATATAATGCCAATGATTTATGTGGGTTTATTTCATATCCTGCAACTTTGCTAAAGTTGTTTATTTCAAGTAGTTTTTTACTTGATTCTCTAAGTATGCCATCATATCATCTACAAAGAGTGATAGCTTTGTTTCTTCATTAGCTATTCTAATTCATTCAATTTCTTTTTCTTCTCTTATTGCTAAACCTAACATCTTTATAACAATATTGAATAACAATGGTGATAATGGACATCCTTGTTTTATCCCTGATCTTTTTGGAAATGCTTCTAGCTTACCTCCATTACATATAATGCTTGCTGATGGATTTAGATGGATGTTACTTATCATTTTAAGGAAAACTCCATTGATTCCTATGCTTTCTGGTATTTTTAATAGAAATGGGTGTTGTATTTTGTCAAAAGCTTTTTCTGCATGTATTGAGATAATCATATGACTTGTTAATTTTGTTACTGATATGGTCAATTATGCTGATAGTTTTCCTAATATTGAACCAGCCCTGCATTCCTGGCATAAATCCTACCTGGTCATAGTGCATTATCCTCATGATAAGTTCCTGTAATCTCTTTGCTGATATTTTATTTAAAATGTTTGCATCTGTATTCATTAGGGAAATTGGTCTATAATTTTCTTTCTCTGTTTTGCTCTTTCCAGTTTAGGTATCAGCACTATATATGTATCATAAAAAGAATTTGGCAAGACTCCACCTATTTTTCCAAATAATTTATATAATATTGGAATTAATTGTTCTTTAAATGTTGGTAGAATTCGCTTGTAAATCCATCTTGCCCTGGAGATTTTTTCTTAGGGAATTCACTGATAGCTTGTTCAGTTTCTTTTTCTGAAATGGGGTTATTTAGGTATTTTATTTCCTCTTCTGTTAATCTGGGCAATTTATATTTTTGTAAATATTTATCCATTTCACTTAGATTGTGAGATTTATTGGCATACAATTGGGCAAAATAGCTCCTAATCAATGTTTTAATTTCCTCTTCACTGATGGTGAATTCACTTTTTTTATTTTTGATACTGGTAATTTGGTTCTTTTTTTTTTTCCAACCAAATTAACCAAAAAGTTTATCTATTTTATTGTTTTTTTCCCATAAAACCAGCTCTTAGTTTGATTTATTAGTTCAATAGTTTTCTTAATTTCAATTTAATTAATTTCTCCTTTGA